CCCCCCCCTAATGCCCGTAAAAATAAACGCTTTCTAATTTTCAAACTTGTGCAGCATAAACATTGACGCCCGGCCACTAGTCTCAGGGATGTGGCGGAATATTGCAAATATTTATAGTAATTTTTAATATTTTATTTAGAATTTTTGAAATTCTAAATAACAATTAATGTGTTTATGAGTAAATATAAGACTAATAAACCCTATTTTATCCACAAGAACGAGACGACATTGGAGAGTAGATATTAAAAAACCTAGAGGCTTCCAGAAGTGGGAAAATCTCCTGAAGGGTGCCGAGAAGGGTCACTTCCTAAACTTTAACAATTAGCTATCTTTATTCTGAGAAGCCTTTTTGGGACGAATAAAATATGCATGTATGTGTGTGAATGCACGTGTAAACTCAATATTTTGAGTTGTAACCACTCGGCTGTTTTTGCAGCGATAGAGGGTACTTTAGTCGAGAGCTGGTCATGACACTTTTATCAGGGGCGGCGGAAGCTGACAATCTTTGGGGAGGGGGAGGCACTGAAATATTATATGTGACGCTATGTGATAATGACCGCTGTTTTGTTTGATTGCAGACGCATGCGCCGTAAAACTATGACTGAGAACCAATATTTTGTGGTGGCAGGCCCCCCAAAAAAATTCGTGGGGGTTTCGTTCCGCCGCCCCTGTATATCGATGCGCGGCCCTAAGGACGTCTGCAAAGGGGGCTACCTGTTGTATGGCCTTTAATCGAGCATACCGAGCCTAGGGAATGATTTAGAGTGTCCCTATGGCCTTCCCTCTCACCATCCCTTGAGTTAGTGGTTGCTTTACGTGTCTATACTTCGTATAGTCTCCAGGCTCCCGCAGCCGTCATTAGTTTGCGTCTCAGATCCTTGCGGGGCCCTCTCCACGAGGGCTCGTCAGGCTCTGGGACCGAAACTAATGACGTTTCTATACTTCGTAAGTGCTCAGCGACCAATACTATTCACTTTGACAGTAAGGAAAAAACTGTCCAAAGCTTTTCTCGATGAGTACGTGTGGCATGATCAAATCTAAAACACGGTGTAAGTTTTGGTGTAAACCGACTTCAATCGTCACATTTAATGCATATGTTCGATTTACGATCCTTCTTGGTGCAAGAGTAACTTGATATTTAACCCTTTTGGGTTGTCTCTCTTGCACCCTTCACCTATCTTCTTAATCTCATCTCATTTTTTGTTTATCTTTTGTAGGTGTGGAAAATAAAAACCTTTGAACCTTCCATTAAACGTATGCATGTGCATGTATGCATCTTTGCCCTCCTTCCCCTTTTATGAAATGACAATCAAGTGGAATTTAGGAAATTATATACAGCGCGAAATTTAGGCTTATTTGGCTCCGTTTCCTTAGTATCGTGATCTTGCCGCATGGAACTTCAAACTTCTTGGCTTAATTCAGTGGATTGGGATCCCTGTGTACTTGTTTCTGGTTTCGTTCTCTTCCATTCCAAGATGGCGCTTTTCGAATCAGCTTCCAAACAGTTAGTGAAGGATACGGGAAGATCTTCACTTCATCCTGTACTAGATTTGAATTCTTCCTCTAAATATGGCATCATGTGTGTCGTAGAGAAGAAGAAAAGCCGATGGTTTTGGAGAAAAACCAAGTATTTGCCAACTCCTTTCAACCTCAATGAAATTTTACTGCAGGTAAATGTGTTTTTAAATAATATAAAGTAAGTTTATATATAGTAAGCTTAATACTAGATTTAATCGCTAGAATTATAGCTAGTAAGACATAGGAATGTATATTCAATGCAAAATAAGATTCCATTACCAAGACTCGTTCAAGAAAATATGTAAAATTGTAAAATTTTACGTAGTGCATAGATATTTTATAGGAGTGGCTTATCACGGCGTCAGTTCTCTTTTTTTTTTAATTCCAAGAAAAGAGAAGGTGAAAAATATGTACGCTTTATCTTTGTATTTTCTCTGTCTGTGATCTTAAGTAGTGAGTTCGAAAATAATAATGAAATACAAGTTCTATTCGAAATATAATTTGGCTACTCACCTATTTATAATTATGATTATTTAATTAAATGACCTTAATGTAAACTATAATTATACACGTGACCACTGTATGGACTAAATCCGGGCAGCTTTAATATACTATACACTGGGACATAATACAACTGCCATAAGGGCGGGTGGGAGTGGTATAATAACAATAATTCTAGCAATCTAGCGACATATAATATACTATTCGGAATGAACAACAAGCCACGAGGTGAAAAATGATACATGATATATGATATACAAGATTGACCAACCCTGTTAAACATTAAACTATATTAACAAACTTAATTCCACTTATAAGGCTTAAGATTACCTTTGCCATTTAGCTAACTAAACCTGCTTTAGCAGAAGGACTGAATATTATTACAAAACGTTTTCTCTTATTTTATATTAATTATATTTTCTCTATATTATGTTTCCTATGATCTATAATTAAAGTGCCTATAACCTTTATAGGAATATGATCAATTTTGATTTTCTGTGTGTTGAAGATGAATACACTAAATTTTTTTCTCGGTTGACTAAATATTCTCGGAGATATGTAACGCCCTAAAGTACGCAGTTTTGCCACGCCCCATCAATTTGGACAGGATCGCGAGGTCTGGTACCTAGTTGGCCTCAAATGACATCACAACAAGAACAACTCCACTTCCAATAAGTAAAACAAAGTAGAGCTTGGCTGCAGCATTTGAGCACCCAGCAACAACACATCTAGTCGGCATTTTCTCATATTTTGACCGAAGAACTAGTAAGAATCTTTGCTTATCAAAATATTTGTTCTTGTTGTGACGTCACCACTCATCAGAGAGATTCTGCTCGGTCCCTTTATCCTCGGTCCCTGCTCGGTACATTTATTTTTAATTAAAACCATTAAGTCATGACATCTTACCTACATTTATATCTTCTTTTTTTACGATTAATTAGCTATATTTCCCACCACATATTTAGTGTTCATTTACCTTATCTAATTACGGCATTTGGAAATGCCTAATGCATTTATATTTATTAGTTTTTTGTTTTTGTATTCAGCCTATTGATTATTCAAGCACAGTAAAAACAACAGAATTCGTTGCAAATTACGAAAATGATCCCAGCCTGCATGTATCTGGAAAGTTGGGTGCAAAGCTGGCCGGAGAGCTTGGGATTGATGTTTCCACAACAGACTCATTTACTGTCAAAATAAACCTGGGCACCATCAATAAAAGTAAAATTAGATGGCAAGAACTGAGCAATCTAATGAAAGACAAGAAACTGAACTTGGAGCATGAGTTTGTCCAGGCAATTCTGAAGAGTAAACGAAGAAAACTTTGCATTGTTAATGAAGTTTTGAAAACAACTAAAGAGACAAACATCCAGTCAGTTCTCATAGTGGAAGGTGAGTGGAAGTACAGTAGTTATTCATGGAATATAGATCAGAATGGGCCAGGGAGCATACCAAGATATACACCAATATAAACCCAATATTTTCCATCAATGATACTAATATAGGTAATCATGTACTTCATAACCAGCTGACATGTATCAGTCGACTGTCGCTTGACTGTAATTGGTCAACAGTCACCCGATTATTGACCAACACTTGCCCAACACTTCACCAACTCTTCATTACAATCATTTTGCCTTCATGTAGTTTTGCCTACAGAGGTGTCTTATCAAATACTTTGTGATAAATCTTCAACCGACTATCAGCCAACACTTGACCGTCACTTTATTAACACTTTACYACTCTCCTTTTGCCTGCCATGCACAGAGCCATTTCGCAGGCTATGGTTTTGCTCATATGCATATAGTTTTGCCCACAGAGGTTCTAGCCTACTTATCAAAGTATTATCAAATACTTTGTGATAAATCTTTAATCTATTTTTATGATGCTCACCAAATTCATTACYAATTAAAAAAGAAAGTGTAAAAAGGAAACCATATGATAACAAGAGCTGATTGCACGTGGCCCTAGAAATATAAATCCCAACAAGTTTCATAATATTTCTGAAAATTAATGTCCTTATTCTTTGAAACAAGACTAATACATGTACAGTATATATATYGGTTACTTAGAAAAGAATAAAACGTTTTGTGACAGTGAATCGGTTACGTAAATAACTCAAAATTTAAATTTATTAATCATAAAATGGATCATCAAAGTAGCCCCTGCTTATTGGGCATTTGCTTGATCTCAACACTATAGTTGTGTGAAGTCTAGGTTTCTTATGAACACTGCCTGAAAATGCCTAGTTTTTATGTCTGTGTCTGCAATATTAAAAGAGCGCTTCATCATGGAAATCATCTATTCATCCTAATCATCAACTAAGCCTACAAATTAGTGYGGTACATAGCTGCAGCATTGGTTTTTCAGTGGTTTCACCTGACAGAATTACATTTTTTCTGGATTGCAATACTTGAAAGAAGCTTTTGTCCAACCAGACTGGGTACATGTCAGGTCAAACCTTGTCCCTGATCTGACATACGTGCCTTATAGAAAAAACTTTTTTGCAGCCTTGTAAAATTCTCATTGAGCATAAACTATTTGGTTTTTTTTTTATAGGAGATGCAGACGCTAAAGCTTCAGCTACAACCAAGGCTGAAGTAGATGTTAAAGGATCAGTAAGTGACACTCACCATCACTCCTTTGACATCCCCAAAGATACCATCATSGCTTATGGTTGTTATGAGTTTGACTTTGATGATGGTATTGGAATGATTGACTTGGCTATTGAAAAGAAACTAGAAGATGTGACAGATGCAGCTCCTAGTGATGAGACAACAGTTGATCACCCTGATGGACAAGGTTTGAACATCAATTCTTACAAATTACATATGGCATTTTAATTGGTTTTTTTTAATATCCCTGGCCTTGATTTAATATATAGTTGGGAAGTATAATTTTTTATGCAAGAAAAAAACAGTTTGACAACTAATTTTTATAAATACCAGTACAAGTAAATTGTGTAGTTCCAGAAATTATCCATACCCACACCACAGAGAAATTTGGAATTTCCAAAGGGTTGGGGGGGGGTCGTCAGAGAAACGACAAAAATTACAGAGTTTGTATGGAAGAAAATTGAAAGTTCTAGGGAAAGGAGGTGGTCTTTAAAAAAATTCCTCCGTGAGAGGGTATAGATAATTTCTTGAACTACACATTAAGACAGCACTAGGGATGTTACCAAATTCGGTTTTCATTAGAGACAAAACATATCATGATCACACCACTAAACGTCTATGCCTTCACCCACAGATGTCACACCTCTAGTCTGCATTCCTTTTTCCAGGTGTCGGTATCCTTTTGATAGCTAACTCATAATTATCAAAAGGTTGCCGACACATGGAAAAAGGAATACATACTAAAAGTATGACATTCATGGGTGGAGCCCTAGACATTTGGAAGTTATGACAACAAATTTTCACCCTGTATTTTACTATGAAATAATAAAATCCTGAATTTCTGATTACCACAATGCAATATTTTTTAAATTCAGCTTTTGAAAAAATAACTTTTTTCACATTCAAAAAACTGTCAGTGAGTGCCAAATAGTGTCTGTGAGTCTATTCCRTGTGGTCATAGGAAAGAAATGACATCACTGTGAGGACTTGTCTCTACATGTTCACTATAATACTGATAATAATAGTAATATTATTATTATTATCATTATTATTATTATTATTATTAAGTCTAGTACTAAAATGTATAGATGCAATTATTATTATTATTATCATTATTATTATTATTATTATTATTATKATGATACTGATAAAACTCATGACCTGAAAACAATATTTGTATTTGAAAAAAAGTTTACCTAATCTGTTGAAGTTGTCTGTTTTGACATTAACAATTAATATTTACTTTCTCATACAATTGTTTTTGAATCATAGATAGTGCCTTGACATCGATATTCCATGGCTTGCTCAAGTCTCCAAAGAAAGATGATGTAATCAAGTGTTTTAAGCAGATCCTGGCCACTCCAGAGAGCATTAAACCCTTGGATGAATTGGTATGTGACCAAGGAAAGATTACATGATCTGAGCTACAGTAGCTAAAAATGAATGGTCAACACTTGGCATGTTTCTATTGACTTATAGATACCAGCAGGAGGCTGTATGCATTAGGATTATGAGGGAAGGACTCAGACTCTAGCTTCTTGATTGCAAGTGCAAATGATTAAGTGCATCCATAACTTATTGGATGCATGCGGAGTGTTAGCGTGCAGAGTTGCACACTAATTGGGACCACTCGAACAAAACTGACCAATCAGATTAGTAAACTAGACAGAAATTGAACTGATAAAAATGTTACAYGGTTTACAGTCAACTCGCCCACTGACCTTGACTCGATGATTTTATACATGGACAAGTTGGCGTGGGTGAGTTGGTCCGTGGGCAAGTTGACTAGTTACCTGTTACCCAATCGTATTATTGCATTCTCACCCTCTTATTTAAATATCGATATGCTATCTAATTTGCTGGTTACTTGCTCAAACCATGAAAACTTTGAGTTTTTTTGACATTTTTTCATACCTCCAATCACAGCTCTCAGTAGAAAAAAAATGAATCGGGCATTTTTTAGGCGCCATCCAATCACAACAAACAATGAAAAATCTTTAGATCTTATATTCTTTAGCTCACTCCATAAACTAATGAACTGCTAAGTCCACATTTTGCAAAACTGTGCCACAAAGTGCAAACTTTCAGTAATTTACAGTTCAATAAAACAAAAACATTGTTCATAAAAAAACTGAAGTACTTTATGTTGTAAATTTTTAAAAACATTTACGGCGACAGCAACACAAGTGACTCTGGAATGGCTTGAAAATATGTTGGAGCCTCGGGAAGAATCTAGCTTCTGATTGGATGATTCAAAAATGCTGAAAAAAATTTGAAGTGTTCATGGTTAGAGTTTCTGCACAGTAAATTGTTTTTTTGTACATCTATTTCAGTCTTTTGTTCTTAAATTTATTTTCAAAGCTTGAGAAAGCAGTGTATAGTGTTGAAGGAGAGATGGTTAAACCCTACACTTTTCAAGAATTCAAGTCATTGGTTGAGCATTGTGAAGGCTGGGAAAAACTTCTGGCACTCCTTGGCTTCACCATTGAAAAGGAGAAGGATGGATTGATTGTTTATCCTGATGAAGAAGCATTAGACTTGATCTTGCCCTGTAGTGCTCTTGCTGATGCTCTGAATGGTAGGCACCAATTGATTTTATTTGACCTAATCAAAGTTTTCCCATTACAAACCATGTGTCATTCCCTCGAGTATTATTTCTTTTGTTTAACATTTAATTTAATGCTCTCAAGTGCAGTGTAGTGGTATAGTACACTTGTGGCACCCCAGACTTGGCATGACATTTGAGTAGAGTTTGTTAGGTTTCTCCCTTGATTTAAGGGTTTAATTTCTCTGGATTCTGTGGTTTTCCTCCCTCCACAAAACTTAACATGCTAAATTCTAATTTGATCTGTGAGTTAGTTGTGCCCTGATTTGTCTAATTATCAGTCCAGAGTCCTTTTTAGGGTTCAATCTGTGAGTTAGCCATGCCCCAACTTAAATGATGTAAAAAAAACATGTAAAAAATCGAAAGATTTTTGTTATTAGGACTCTCAAGTCAGCAGTGTCTAGCCCTTAAAGACCTGAAACATGAGCATGCTGAGCCACTTTTGTATTTGGTAAGTGAATATATTTACGTATATTATATTCTGTTCAGGTATCTTGTAGATTCATATTGAATGTAGTTCCAGAAATTATCCATAACCCCCACAGAATTTTTTCAGCCCC